CTTCATTAATGTACATAGATAAAATTTCATTGAAAGTTCCTAGGCATTTTGTGGAGCATCCAATATTTAGTGGTAATTTCTTAATGTTTGAATATTCAAGATTATTACCTTATATATGGACACTGTTTTAATATGCTGTTTATCTTTCCTCACAATAATCCTTGAAGAATAAAGGATTTGAATATACCTGATTCTAGCCTAAGGACAGCAAATGGAACAAGACTTGAGAGCTTCTTTTCACCATTTGAGTCTCAAGTAAGTGCAATGGTACACAGTAACTTCCTGAAGTTGAAATAAGAATTATTAATTTCTGTTTGTAATCATACTTTAAATGATAGCACACCTAGAAAAAATAATTTCAAAACATGACCCTCTAACTTTTGTTTAAAAAAAGTGATTAGTATATACAACCTGATTGTCATAATAATAATAATAATAATAATAAACAAACAGTATGCGGCAGGTGGGGGCCGCTAGAAGTGGAGCTAACTCAATCCCTAAACAATAAATCTGCACATATGATCCTAGCTAATGTGTTCCCTTAAAGCATTATTATTAAACATTGAATCAAGGAGTTCACCAAGTTGTCTGACATTCTATGTCTCATAATTGTTTTTCTTTCTGATCTGAGTAAACTGCAAATAAAAGCAATCCTGGTTTCACTGGGTGTCTGTCACCTGCAACTAATTCTTCCAAACTGAAGTTAACTGCCTGGAATTATTGCATCCCTTATTTACACAGTACTTTCCTATTTGCAATATATATTTAGATAACTCCAGTTCCCAAACCCTGTTCTCAATAACACTGCTTCCAAGCAGTTGTTGCTACCCGAGAGCTATGCCTTCTATATGAACACCAGTGACCTGCAGTACAGGAAGACAGGTGTACTGAAAAGGAATAAGAAAACTAAGACAAGGTCTGCTACAGCCCTTATCTCTGACTGGACAGTTTAGTCTTAAAACAGAATAGAGAACAACACCTTAAACAAGGGCTTATATTTATACGTGTTTATATTTTTATTAGATTTCATTTTCTTTATATGGTTATATTCAGACATATAAGTGCTTTATATATAAACATATAGATATATTCAACTTGATGTATGACAACTTTATACTTAATAAACTTTTAACATAGAAAACAGCTATATGTATTTATAAGCTGCATTATGAATACTCTTCAGAAAACATATATCTTCATTATTTTTAAGAGTATTTTCTTCTTTGAATTATTCTGATACATTGATAAGTTCAAATGTGTGTTAATTATGCACCATTGACTATACATAAAATGAAACTTTTCAAAATGTGTGCACACAAGAAACAAAAGTTAGAAGTGAAAGAAAGGAATCATATCACATTAGAAAATGAGGCAGAGTGAAGAAATTTCAATTGTAACTAAGCAACTAATTTTTTAAATAATTTCATTAAACACTCCTTTGCTATACAATAGAAAATAAACAATTTCTTTCCTGATCATCAATGTGGTTAATCTAAAATATAAAGATTACTCTTCTTCACCACGAGGTGGCTCACTTTGTATTCCTATGCCAGAGCATTGTGGCCCCAGAGGTCGGAGGCAATAAAATCCTCAGTAACCAGGATAGAATGGAGAAAATAAGCCTTTTAGAGCAAAGCTGAAATTTTGAACAAGAAACACTTGAACTACAGCTCAGATACCTTCAGCAGTTCTCATCAGAGCTGTCTTCACAGAGACAGGATATTTAGAAGAGTTGGTTTTAGGCTGAAGACAAATAGAAAATCAGATGGAATCCTGTCTAATAACTACTCTGTGTTCAAGTTCAAAGTCTCACACACTTCTCAAATGCATTTGTAACATGAATCAGATACTCAGGGGAAGAGGAAGAGAGGAAAGAAAGCAGCAACTTAAAATTAAAACAACAATAACAGCGAGTCACCTTGCCTAATGTTCACTGATTTTGAATTAGAATGGAAGCAAATAAGGAGTAGGGTTTTTAAAAAGCTACTGAAGATGGAAAATTTAACTTAGAGAAGGAGTTTCAAGATGGCTTGTAAGGTGGCTCTTAGCAGTCTTCCCCTCCAACAAACTGCATTTTAGTAGAAAAATATAATAGGGCAGTAGCCATAGAAGCTTGTAACACCATCCAATATATTGCTATAAAAAGCCTTACCATCTGGATCCTAATTCCACTCAATATTGAAACTGTAGAGCATTTTCTCTTCATTCTAATTTACAGCTCTCACTCAGTGCAGCCCTGAAGGGTGCATACAATATGCCATTGTTAGAGCTAGGGTATAATCCAAGGCAATTTGGGGAAAATCAGCTTGTGAGTATAACTATATGGTTTTCTCAGTATTCAGCACCTGTTTGCATTTTATGAAAGCTTATCCATTTTTCTGGTATTTTTTTTCTTCCTTCCTTTTGTCTTGGTCAGCATAGGTCTATAAAATCATCATGTATATACATCATGTATATATACGCAAATGCCTATGGGCTACAGCATCAATCCTACCTTCTTGATCAGTGAGAATTGAAATGCATGTGACTTAAGGGCACTGAAGATTGTTTATAACCCACTCCTTTATTTAATCCATAGTATTCACTCCTTTGTTGAAAAAAAAAAAAAAAAACCCAGAAAATCCCAAAACATTCATTCACCAAGATACCCAGGAAATGCTATTAGATGTAGGGAAAAAAATGTGTTTAAAAACTAGAAGGCTGGTGACTAGGAGCCATCACAGTGACAGGGGAGTCATCACCTCTGGCTCCAAACAAAATGAAATTGATTCCCTCTCAGCAAAGACAGCTCTGAATGGCAATCCATAATGTGTAAGCAACTGGCTAACTCTTTAACCTGCCTCACAAATCTACATTACTGAGAAGGGTGAGTGACTGAGACCTTGCAAGAAATTGCAAGAGCCTACCTATAAGTGGATTGCAAGGTAGCTAGAACATTAGGAAAGCTAGCTCAACAACTGAATTAAATTACCTTTCACCTCCACAGAAGGCCTGGTTAAAATTATTTCTCTGACTCTCAGTTTGCTGGCTGAGTTGCATTATCTTGGCAAAAAATAAACAAGAAGGGTATCTTCTTGCTCGCCAAGAATCCATTCCAAAGGCACAGCATTCATCCAACAAGAAAGCAATTATGTCCCCTCCAGCTCTGTAGCTTTGTATCTCTGGATTTTACTAACAGCGATATCAATACTGTGGACTGAGAGCCCTCAGCTGCCACAGGACCATGGTGAATGAGAACAGGTGTATTTAAGTATGAATATGACTGTAAGTGTGAAGCAACAAGAAGTAAAGTTGTGTTATTCTAGTGTACTTTTTATTATAAAACAGACCATAGAATATATTTTATCAAATTACTTTATGAACATTTAATGCAGTACCTTCAGATGTTATGGAAACCAAAGAGAGTATTAGAAAATATATGTTCATTTTTGGTTACAAACTGAAAGTTTGTTGCTGTAGAGGAGTCAGCTGCATTAAACATTAACGACAAATGAAGTTCCCTTTCTTTCTTCTCCCTTCTGAAGAGGCAATGGACATACTGCCTTGCACACATGCTCTTTTGGCTCCAGGGAGGAACTCCTATAGCCATCACAGAAGAGGCACCTGACTCTCTGAACTTGAAAATGCCACTCTTGTCTTAACTTTCAAGCACAAACCCTGATTTGCCCAAAGTCATGTGCCATGCTCCCAAAACAGAACTAAGGTTATCCACAAGTGGAATACCACACCATGACTTGGAAGCACTTCCCAGACGATTTAGCCCAAAAGACATAACTTTCATCAATGCAGTACACATGCAAAGTGCTGCTTATGCAGCAGAAATCTGTGTCTTCTAATTCATTCTCTACTTACCATAAACTCCCTCCAAACCTCAGTCCTGAAGCCAATGGTGAATCAGAAGTACCATGAACCTGACATGTAGGACTCACATCTTCTAAATAACATTTTGCTTATTATCATCTCAACATAATTGCTAACTGGTGGTTACTAGTATTTAGTAAAATATTTTGTGATATGATGCCCATGAAATAATTAAAATGAATATTCAGAGATTAGAATGGTAAAAAGTTATTGAAATTTTTCTCTATTAATTTTACTTGGAATCTGGAATTCCAAAGCAGTCAAGAAATGTTAGGGTTGATAACACAGATTAACATCATTAAGGCAAGGAGACTCAGGTCAACAAACTGTAGTTTTGTGTGAAGTTTTATAAAGATAAATCTGTTGACTAGGAAACCCCTAAATGCAGTCCTGGAATCTGGCTCATTTCAGCAGAAGCAATTCTTTCCAATTAATTCTTTATCATGTCAAGGAAATGCTAACCGGTATCACAGCAGACTGACTAATATCAACCAAAAAGTTCCCCTCTTCAAATCCATATCATCTAGACATGCCTAAGAACTCAAAAAGATGAAAGCACATTTGATTCCTGGCTTTTTCTGATAAATACAGCAATTTGCATGAATATTAAAGTTCTGTGATTCAGCAACTTTCACTCCTTTCTATACCACTGAATGTTAATGCTGCAGAAGAGTTTGAATCCATAGCATCCACCGCTTGGCTTTAATTTTAGAAGACTCAAGCAAGCTTTCTCTAGCAGAAGGAGAGAATACTTAAAGGTCTTTAAATCACACATGCAGAGTTGCATCACAACTGTCAATTACCTCAAAAGGTTAGAAACACACATTTCTCTAAATGTGTTAGTTGCCCATGAATCACTGAATAAGACTGAGCCTCCTATTTGCAAATCATCAGGAAAAGGTGGGGAGAGAGAAGTGGAGGAACCATCTGCGCTAAAACTTTAATCAGAAAAATCACTGCTGAACTATGAAGCCCTCACTGCTCTGCTTCCTTCAATGAAAAAAAAGACTTTCTCAGTTAAAGTGAATGCTGTAATTGAGGTTTCCGACACCAAAAACAAGAATTCGCAAGAGCCTACCTGTGAGTGGCTGTGAGGTAGCTGGCACCTTGGGAAAGAGCGCTCTGGGCAGCTGACTTACCTGCACTGAGCAGCCTCCTCCCCAGGCAGCGTGAATTTTGGAAGAGGGTGTCCTCTTGCCAGGGCTGCGAAGCAGCTGGAAAGAAGTGGCTGTCTGCCACCAGCTGTGACAGCTACATGTTACCGGATCCCTCAGAAACTGGACTCTAGCGCTCCTCCGACAAATCAGGCAGGCAGTGGCCGCCGGGAGCTCAGCTGAGGAAGCTGGAACTGCAGTTGCTAATGCCGCCTCACTTGAGAGGAAAGCACTGCTCCGCGTGCGTGCCTGCGTGTGTGTGTGTGTGTGTGTGTGTGTGTGTGTGTGTGTGTGTTCGCGCTCTAACTGCTGGCTCCAGGCTGAGCCGATGTGTTCTGCGTGCTCAAAAATGCTCATGCAGGGAGGAGGCTGCTCCACACAAACCCCAGTCTCTCCTCTGAGGAATCACAGTCCACTGACCTTGCTGCTGGGGATTCTGGCTGAACGGCTCTGCTCGCTCATCAATCCATTTAACAATCAATCAAATAAAGCAGATCGGCTCAGCCCAGGATAGACAAATATTTTCTCTACAAGAACCAACAATTTTAAAAAAGATATATCTAAGATCAATGTGTGTTTTTTTTTTCCTTTGAGTTCCTATGTCTTGAGCACAAACTTTACATGATGAGCCCTTAAGTAAAACTTTTCACGTGGTTTCTAAGGCTGGATGGGATCTTACTCAGAAGCGAATTTCAAACATTTACTACACAGGGATATGTCCGATGCAGTCCCGAACTTAAACAAATTTTGATGGCTTAAACCAATAAACTACTTTCAAAAATCAGGGGTTCCATGTCACAATATGTGTGTTAGGGACTTCAGGCAGAACCTGGGTTCAAATCTAACCTCAGTTTCCTTTAGTTTCCTCAGTTTCCTTTAACCTAGTAAAAGTTATCAGGAAATCCCTATGCTAAGTGATGTGTTAATAATATAAAGAATCTCTTCATCAGAGGCACCTTGGGACCGGTATTGTGGCCTAGTGGGTGAAGCTGCTGCCTGCGGATGCTGATTCATGTTCTTGCTAATGGCCTGGGAAAAGCAGTGGAAGATAACCGAAGTAGTTTGGCACTTTTCACTCACATGACAGATCTGGAAGAAGTTCCTGGCTCCTGGCTTTGGCCTTACCCAGCCCTGGCCATTGCAGCCATTTGGGGAGTGAACCAGCAGAATGGAAAGTCTCTCCGTTTCTTTCTGTCTCTCTCTCTGTTACTCTGACTCTCAAATACATAAATAATATAATAATAATAAAAAGGAACACCATCATTAGTAGTCCCATTATCTTGTGCAGGTCATTTAACCCTGTTGAGCCTCAGTGGTCTCATCAGTAAAATGGCAAGGATTTCTATGATAGATCAGTCATTTTAAAGTGCACATTTAATACTGTGTAAACTATAAAAAGTTAACAATGTATTACAGAATGAATAACCCATTGTCACAAAAAAATACCTGGTCATATGAGACACAAAAGATACGTTCAGGTTCTATTCAAATAAATGATACTGGAATATGAAGTTGCTGAACTCTCAGCCCTAGGATTTCAGTCTAGATCTGTTTTTATTTGAAAAATCAAAAGCATGTGATTGAGTACAAATGCTTTTTATCACATCCTGTCTCTGCAAAACCTGGAAAATTGAGGCAAATATAATCACCCCTGATTTGCAAATTAGGACAGCAACACACAGAGCAGGAAAGTCCTTGGCTAACAGTCTTTTAAGGAGGGGGAATGTTGAAACTATTAATTTTTTGTAAATTTGAGTATGACTTCAAACAGAAAAGTTGTAAAAGTGAGAATACTACAAAACTATCATAAGCCTTTATTCCTATTAGTTTATATTGATATTTACTCCATTTGCATTATCACTTGATCTGCAAACACACACAAGGATGGAGAAAGAGATTTGGCCACTCGAGAGTAATATGAATATACCAGGTTTATTAGTTGTTTTACTATACATCTCATGAAACTAAAGATGTTTCTTTTATAACCAAATACTTTAACAGCTCTAGTAAATTTAATATTATTATAAGTTTAACATAGTGTATTTCTCATTTCTCTTTTTTATTTGGGCCAATATTATCTTTTCCAAAGCTTTTCTTTCACTTTTATGACATTTTAAAAGAATATATTTTCCTCTTTTTAAGCAGAACATTCCTAAATTTGCATCACCACATGTTTTGCTTTTTAAGTTTTTCAATTGAAAAATAATAATTATAGATTTTAATGGGGTGCAATGTGATATTTTGGTAGATTCAAACATTGTGTTTTAATTAACTCAAGATTTTTAGGTCATCCATTATCTGTAACATTTGTCATTATGTTGTGATGACAACATTCAACATCTTTTCTTCAAATACACTATTCTATACAGTACAGCACCCTTGTTGTTTTTTTTTTTTTTTTTCTGGAAAACAGGCAGAGCTAGACAGTGAGAAAGAGAGAGACAGAGAGAGTTATAGACAGTGAGAGAGAGACAGAGAGAAAGGTCTTCCTTCCATTGGTTCACTCCCTTAATGGCCGCTACGGCCAATGCTGGGCCGATCTGAAGCCAGGAGCTGGGTGCAGCCTCCCCATCTCCCATGAGGGTGCAGGGACCCAAGCACTTGGGCCATCCTCAGCTGCCCTCCTGGGCCACAGCAGAGAGCTAGACTGGAAGAGGAGCAACTGGGACTAGTAACCGGTGCCACAACCGGGACTAGAACCCCGGTGTATCGGCACGGGAGGCGGAGGATTAGCCAAGTGAGCCACGGTGCCAGCCCAGTACAGCACTCTTAACTATATCCTGTGTGATAGGGCAGAAACACTTATTCTTCCTTTCTAACTGTGTCTTTGTACCTGTGAAGCAATCTCTCCCCAGCACCTCCTCTATCCTCTTGTCACCTCCCCTGTCTCTGATAATCACTGTTCTCTTATTTCTCTGAGCTCAGCTTTTTAATATTCCATATGTGAGTGAAGTTATGTGGTATTTGTCCTTCTGTGCCTGGCTTAATTCCATTAACATTATGATCTCCTGGTTTATGCATGTTGCTGCAGATGATGGAATTTGTCCCTTTTCATGTCTGAATAGTACTGCAGCGTGTATGTAAAATATATTCTCTTTATTTGTTCATCCATTGATGGACATCTTAATTTTACATTTGTGTCATGTTTGTTAATTATTAGATTCAGATTATAAATTCTGAGATAGAATATTGCATAATTGGCATTGCGTTCCGTAAACATCATCCCCACATCCATGCAAGGTCCATCTACCTTCAGTGATTTTGTTAATTTTGATAACCCAGTCATGTCTCTTTCATATTTCTACATTGTGTAAGTACTGTTTTCCTCTTTTCAATTATCAACCTATCAGTAGAAAAACATTTTAAAGACATAGAAATATCTTGCATCTCATCAAAATCCTGACGTATTTAACATTCATTTAATTTTTTAAAAGATTTATTTTATTTACTTGAAAGATAGAGTTACAGAGAGAGGTAGAGACAGAGCAAGAGGTCTTCCATCCGCTGGATCACTCCACAAATGTGGAGTGACAGCCACAATGGCCACAACACTTTGGCCGCAACGGCTGAAGCTGCGCCAATCCGAAGCCAGGAGCCAGGAGCTTCTTCCAGGTCTCCTACATGGGGGCAGGAGCCCAGCGACTTGGGCCATCTTCTATTGCTTTCCCAGGCCATAGCAGAGAGCTGGATTGGAAATGGAGCAGCCGGGACTAGAACCGGCACCCATATGGGATGCCCGCGCTTCAGGCCAGGGCTTTAAAATACTACACCACAGTGCCGCCCCTTAAAATTCATTTAAAATATGATGATTGAAAGCAATACACTTACAACTCCAATACTCTCCACATCTCCAACACACTATATATTCTGTTGCTGAAAAAATCCTCACTTATGTAATCTCTCTCTCTCTCTCTCATTCCCTTCTTCTCTGTTTTTTTATAAAAAAAAAGATTCCAAATGTTAAAATAAAAATTGATACCAGTTCTATACCATCTCTTTCATATAAATTGACACAAAATTCATTTAGATATCATCAATCTTATATATAAAAAGTATAAAAAATCAAAGTAGAGTAGAATTTTCTCAACTTGATTAAGAATACCTTCACAAAATGTATAATTAACATTATATTTGAAGATCATATAATGAAATCTTCCTAAGATCAATAACAAAGCTAGGAGGTTAGTTCTCACTACTTTCTCCGTTTAGTGCTAAAAGTGTTAAACCATATCATAAGGGAAAATGAACAAGGCATATTGATCTCAAGGAAAGAAGGGGCTAGTGCTGTGGCATAATGGGTTAAGCTGTCACCTGTGACACCAGCATCCCATATAGGAGCAAAGTTCTAGTCCTGGCTGCTCCACTCCTGATCCAGTTCCCTGCTAATGTCCTGGCAAAAGTGTAGAAAAATGGCCCAAGTGCTTGGGCCTTTGCCAACCATGCTGAAGACCCCAGATGAAGTTCGTTGCTCCTGGATTTGGATTGGCCTAGAGCTGGCTATTACAACCCTCTGTGGCATGAACCAGCAAATGGAAGATCTCTCTCTTTCGGTAACTCTGATTTTTAAAATAAATTTAAAAATCTTTAAGTAAAAAGAGCCAGGGGGACGAAGCTGTGGCACAGTGGGTTAATGCCCTGGCCTGAAGCGCCAGCATCCCATATAGGCACCAGTTCGAGACCCGGCTGCTCCACTTCTCATCCAGCTCTCTGCTATGGCCTGGGACAGCAGTAGAAGACAGCCCAAGTGCATGGACTCTTGTACCTGCATGGGAGACCCGGAAGAAGCTCCTGGCTCCTGGCTTCGGATCGGCACAGCTCTGGCCGTTATGGACAACTGGGAAGTGAACCACCGGATGGAAGACCTCTCTCTGCCTCTCCTCTCTGTGTAACTCTGACTTTCAATTAAATAAATAAATCTTAAAAAAATAAAAAAAATAAAAAGATCTAGGCTGTGCATTGGCAGAAAACTGGAATTGGGAGAAGATTGGAACCCAGGCGCTTTGCTGTAGGATGCCCGCGTGCAAAGTGGCATCTTACCTTCTAGACCAAATGCCCTCCCCTGAAAATTTTGTTTAATGCTCTGAAGCTATGCATATATTTATGTGTTTATAATATGTATTATTTTGAAATGTTATAAAAGTTTCTTTGTGAAAACACTGTTTTCTCCACATAAAAACCTAGTATTTTAAGTAGTTTTGTAATAATTTTCATATTTTCTTATCTGAAAATTGATATATTCTACCAGA